GATCTATCAATTATTGAGAGTACTGGCTTAAAACCTCCCATTATGATAATGTTTTTTCAAACTTGTAAAACAAATTTTCTTCATGAATTTGGAGGCTATATAGTTAGCTGCATACAAATTTAGAATTTTGCCCTTTTGCTAAGTTTATCATTAGGAGGTGGATCTTGGTTTTTATTAGTGCCTCTTATTTTAATATCTAGTTTGCCAAGCCTTTTACTATCAGCCATTTGGGGCCCTTATGCTTTGGTGATTTTCTTTTCAAATAGCATATAGCTTTTTAAAGAGCATGTGGCTTATTGCCATCATCTGTCAATCTACTGCTTAATTGTTTAGTTCACTTACATTTATAATGATTACTGATATTTTTCTTGTCTTTTTTTATTTTAATTTTTGTGGGAACATAGTAGATGTATATATTTATGGGGCATGTGAGATGTTTTGATCCAGGCGTGCAATGCATAATAATCACATCGTGGAGAAGGGGGTGTCCATCCCCTCAAGCATTTATCCTTTGTGTTACTAACAAACCAATTATACTTTTAGTTATTTGAAAATGTACAAGTTCATCTTATATTTGTCCTTTTAGATGGTTTTTGTTGTTCCTTCCTTTTTCTTTTTTTTTTTTTTTGAGACGCAGTCTCGCTCTGTCACCCTGGCTGGAGAGCAGTGGACGGATCTCGGCTCACTGCAAGCTCCGCCTCCCGGGTTCACGCCATTCTCCTGCCTCAGCCTCCCGAGTAACTGGGACTACAGGCGCCCGCCACCTCGCCTGGCTAGTTTTTTTGTATTTTTTAGTAGAGACGGGGTTTCACCGTGTTAGCCAGGATGGTCTCGATCTCCTAACCTTGTGATCCGCCCGTCTCGGCCTCCCAAAGTGCTGGGATTACAGGCTTGAGCCACCGCGCCTGGCCTGTTCCTTCCTTTTTCTATTCCTTTTCATCAACCAGGGTTTTACAAAATGAATCTGTTTCTCTTCCACTAACTAGTTTGGAAGTATAACCCTCTACTTCGATTTGTGTGTGGAACTACATATATTTAGCTTACTCTAAAAGTAATCTACAATTTGTTCCTAAACTTACAGCACTTTAACTCCCTTGTTTTACATATTATTGTCTAGTATTTCTTGTTATCCAAATGAGACATTACTCTTTTTATAAAGGCAATATTTGTGTTCATTTATTCACATTTACCCAGTTCTTCACTATTCCTTCCTGCTTCTTACACTTTTGCATATAGAATTATCTTCCTTCTTTCTGAAATACTACCTTGGAAATTTCATTAGATGATATAGGGATCTGGTGGTGATGAACTGTTTTTGTTTGTTGAAATATGTATTCAACTGTAGAACTTTCTGGCCCTCCAACTATTAGTAGCATCTAAATCACCCCCCACCGACAGTGTCCCCAGACCAGAGACGTGCGGGACAGCTCTGCTGCATGCACGGTTGTGCTCTCTGCTTGGTGGATGTGAGGCTATGGTGTAGAGATGGGGATAAAACTAGAGAGATACGTGCTCAGTAATGACACACGGCCACTCCATGTGCTGCAAAGAAATCTGGACAGTGTGGAAAGGGTGAGAAAGTGATCCAGATACAGCACTTAAAACCGAGAGAACTCATGCTTTAATAGACACTGAAAATCACAAAGGAGCAAGGCCAAGTGCCTTAGCAATCTCAATAAAAATATGAAGTTCTTTTTACATGGTAAATTTCATAATATAAAAAGCTTAATGTCTGGAAACCGTGTAATTTACAAAAAAAGTCCACGTAGGCCAAAGATGGCTAACACTGCATATAAGGAACGTGAATGCCACTGGGAAGGTATCTGAGGAGGGGCGGGACCACAGGTGTCCTGACAGGAAACATCTTTGAAGGATGTGGCACAAACAAGGGCCCAGTTCACAAACCAAAGGTACACTCAGATAGAACAGCAGAATAGGTGATGAAAATTATACAGTTTCCACTTGTTGCCTACTTACTGAAAGCAAACCAGATTATTGCATGGCATTTTTCCAACCTGAACTGAAATTCTCAAGGCTACAGTTCTTTTTGTGGGTCTGCAAGTGTGTGTGGCCGGGAGGTGGCGGGATCGGCATGGCCGGGACTGGCTGCAGTGATCATGTGCTGGAGGTCACTGGGTTGGAGAAAGCAGGATCAGGACAGCGTGGGTGGCACCTTCGTCTCCTGCTAAAACCCAGCAAGTTTCAGTGTGGACCGTGAATTTTTAAAAAATGGAATGGAGGTGAAAACTATTTCATTTTGTGCTGCACATCAGTGTGGCTCAAAATGTAAGTTTTAGTAGCAATTTTTCTCTTGGTATTTTGACTTAATTAAAAAATCAAATTAGTTGAGTCATTTACTGGAGAGAATTAAGAAAGCTTTGACTCCCTTGCTCTGTGGTCCTGCTGAGGTTTCTGAGAGAGGGGAGTTGTACGGCTTATCGTCATTGTATTTACATCTGATGGAGTAGCAGAGGGTGGGACGTGCCAGTTTAAATATATGCAATGCTTTCTGCAAATGGTAAGCCAAAAATTGTTTTGTAAATATTACCCACATCCATGGACTCCTCCCAAGTGGGACAAAGAACCAAGGGCTATGCAGGAGGCATTTGCTTCATCCACGTGGCCCTTACATACCCGGGCTTCCCGGACGCCAGTCAGTCTATCCACTACCTGACTTGCGCTTCCTAGACTGGAGAAACAAAACATTATTCCATTTTCTGTCATCTATACCAGGAGTCAGCAAACTTATTAAAAGGCCAGGTATTGGCCGGGTGCGGTAGCTCACACCTGTAATCCCAGCACTTTGGGAGGCCGAGGCGGGTGGATCACCTGAGGTCATGAGTTCGAGACCAGCCTGGCCAACATGGTGAAACCCCGTCTCTACTAAAAATATAAAAATTAGCAGGTCATGGTAGTGGGTGCCTATAATCCCAGCTACTCAGGAGGCTGAGGCAGGGAGAATCGCTTGAACCCAGGAGGAAGAGGTTGCAGTGAGCCGAAATTGCGCCATTGCACTCTAGCCTGGGCGACAGAGTGAGACTCTGTCTCAAAAAAAAAAAAAAAAGCCAGGTATTAAATATTTTATGTGGTGTGGGCCAAAGGCAAAATCAAGAATATTATGTAATTACTTATATAACCCTTTAAAAAGGTAACTTAGCTCATGGCTGTGAAAAACCATACCGCTGACCAGACTTAGCCTGTGGGTCATAGTTGCCAACTCCTGATGTACACAAAGAAATCTTGGTGAATTACGCAATTTCCCTTAATTCTAAGTGCATACTTTTTTCAGTGTAGCCTGAAACGTTCACTTTGATTTTATGATTTTACATCCGTTTTACTCATATAGGAACACCAAGACGGACATACACATAAAGTGGCGGTGACTCTACAGTGGCCTCTAGACTATCATTTTATCACTTTTGTTTTCCCTTCCTTGAAACTTATATCTAAGACAGAATAAAACCACATAAACCATTTGGCTCTTCAATATGAAACCTAAAACAATAATGTACATGGGACTAAAACCAGGTTAGAGTCCATGAGTCCTCCTAACTGGCTCAATAACCACTTGGGGGTGTTTGCTAGAGAGGGGCAAGTAGGGCGGCACCCTTCCCCTCACGGAAGGAGAGCACAGACCCCAGAGCTTTACTCCAGGGATCCTTGGCACTTGGGAAAGAAAGAGGCTGAGAGATTTGCTAAGAGAGAGACAGCCTAACCATCTGCATATGGATTTAGAAACTTGAGGTTTACTTTTCATTGTTAAGAACCTGATTTTGCTGTCTAATGCACAGTGCTATAAATTTGGTCTTCACTTGCTACACTGGTACTTTTATTACCATTTTTTCCCCTACTAACATAAAGAAACCCTCATAATTGCTGGCTGCTTTATAAAGTACTTTGCTTTCAGTGTTGGGATCAGGGCTAGAATGTGACATGCTGCTGGTTAAATTAAAAACCCCTAGGATGGAGCTCAGGAGAACACAGACTGGATAAATACTCTTCTTCTTTTCAGAGGAGTACACTGAGGAACAGGTGAGACTGTCAGTGTATGCTCAGAAGCTGAGATCCCACCCATGGTTAAAACCCCCACTTGGGGATCCTGAGGTCAGTGCCCCCTGCCAGGCCCCTCAGGTCTGCTCCATGTGCTGCTGGTGGCCCAGGCCAGGTGGCCGCCCACCTTCATGAGGAACCCCGTAGTGAGGTGGGTAGGATTTTTATTTTAGAATTACCTGAAAGATACTTATCTAAATTCTCCAACTAAGTACTAATACGACTTTCAGCATTTCCTTTATTAAAATAAATTAATGGTTACCCCTAAATAGATGATTCCCTTGTCTTGCCTCAAGCTGGCAACAATTTAAGTTACCGTCAGAGCTGTAGGAAAAGAAGTCCACCTTCACTTTTTAAGATGTATCTCTTTCTCCCTGGTTGGCCATAATCCAGGATGGCCCTGCTGCTTAGGATCTGGACGTGTGGCTTCAGTGGTGGGGGAGGGGCCAGTCCTTCAGACAGTAGGAGCACAGCAGGCTGGCCAGGGCCAAGGTGAGGGTTTTGGGGGGCAGCTCACAGAGGCAGGTGCTGGAATTGTGGGGACCTGGCAACAGATTTAGATATAAGACAACTGAGGGACCTGGAGTTGGGAAAAGAGAATAAAATTCAACAGCTAATAAAAGGGAACAGGAGCTGGAAGGCGGGATAAATCTAGTTAGCCTTGGAAATTTTTTTTTTTTTTTTTTTTTTTTTTGCTTATAAGGAAACTGAGTCATTTCAATCTTTCCTTCCAAACTTGATAATTACTTATTGATGACTATTCAAAATTTGACATTTTAAAAAACGTTTTGAGCTTTTAAAAATAATAGCTATAAATGCAAAGTACTATTGATAATAAAACCAAGTTGTTTATCCATATACAAAAAAGGTCAATACTGTTTTAAAAGCACAAAGTTGCATTTTAAATCACAATTGCATAGTTCTAAAATGCCTGGATAAAAGTTACATAATTTTTTTTTAAGAAAATTCAAGTTTGGTTGACAGCGGGACCCAAAGGACATTTGCAGAGGAGAGTTCAGAATGGAAGCGCTGTTTCAATGTGAATTATTGCATTGTTGCTGAGATATTACACTATCATGAGACCAAAATTGCTACAATTTAATTACAAATCATTGGCATTTTAAAAACCATTATTCCATTTTTGGCTAATATAACACTTTCCTGTAGAATTCAACTGAGAGAAATTTCATATATCCCACCCCCAACCAGCACCCGAAAGCCTTAGAAAAAGCTCTATTTGTATTTCTGTGTATAAAAGGTACTGCATATATACCTCTTAGCAAAATATGTGCTCCCTTTCCTCTCCCTACCCCAGAACCATGATCATTTTTGTACAAAATCCTGGTGAAGAATCATATCAAAGATGAGAAGCAGGGAGTTCAAAGGTAAACATTTGGTGAAGTGTATAGGAAATTCCATGAGCCTCCTGTACCAGCCCCATAGAAGTCCTGGCTTTTGGTGAATGTGGCCCAGAAAAGCCACCAGTGTGTGTGACAGCCTTTGGACGTGGTCATGCCCCTTGCCCGGAGAGCACAGCATCACGAGGGTGCTGGTGGCTGTGAGGGGACTGCACTCGGAACGGCTGAAGCAAACGCCAGGCCCCCATCTGCCGGCTGCTCAGAGTCAGTGGGTATAAAAGATGCTTTAGCATTTGGAAGAAGGGAAAAATCTTCCTGGGGACAGGAACTTGTAGCCATTTCCAGAAGGCAGTCTCAAAGGGCGCGCGGGGGCTGTGGCAGGAGGGCCGGCGGGCAGCGGCAGTGCGCCCAGCGAGGTGGTCTCGGTGCGCCAGTGTCCGTTGGGAGGGGCTTTTGGTGGAGCTCCCTCATGCTGCTGCAGGGACAGCTCCTTCAGTTCAAGCTTATCCACTCCCTCCTCCTTCTTATTGTGCCGTGGTGACAAATTCAACAGACTGAGGACATCTCTCTTAGAAGTCATCGTGCCAGGAGCCCCCCGGAAGATCTTCATTGGCCCTGTGGAATGCTGGGGTGTGCTTTGCCAGAACATCTTCAGGTTATGGACAGCCTGCACCTTTTCATCAATGGCCGCCATTTTCAGTTTGTCTATGTCAGGAGCGTCTGCTGGACTCGAGCGAGCGGATCCAGCTGAGGAGTAGGAGAGAGCTGGGGAAGGTGCACTGCCAGCAGGAGACTGGTGGCCGGAGCTTGGGGACATGTTCCTTGGTGATTTGGAAATGTGAGCGCTGTAAGGAGAGCTGGGGTACTTCAGTTTAAAGAGAGGCTGGTCCAGCTGGGAAGTCTGTGAGTCGGAGCCGGGCGATGGCCGGCCACTGTTCTGGCTCGGGCTGTCTTTGATGGACGTCTCCGAGGTGGTGGGGCTGCTATATCCAGAACTCACCTTGGGCAGGGAGGAGCTCCTGGCTGGGGGCTTTGGTTTAACAGTGACTGGCGATGGCTGACTCTTCTGATGGGAGAGGACAGGCCTGCTGAACGCGCTGGTTTCTGATGCTCTGAAGACGGCAGCGCTGCTGGGCGCCTGAATGCCGTCTTCAGGGTTATTACTCTTGCTCACCTGGCCGCCGCTCCTCTGAAGACGCTCCACCGCAATGAGATGACTCTGTGTCTCCTCTAGAATTTTCTGGGCTAATTCTTGTGGATCAAGTTTTGGATTGCTTTCTTCTTGGGATTTCACGGTACTGTCCGTTTCTGTGCTAGACTGGTCTGATTCTCCTGTATCTGAGCTTGCTAGTTTTCCCACCTTTTGGAAGGGTGAGTTGGGGCTGGGAATCAGAGTCATTTTCACTGGAGAATTTGGAGTGCTGATGCTCCCTTTGGAGCTCACTGAGACTCTCAAGCCTCCGGCTGTCCCAGGTCGGGGTTGTTTGTGGTCTGGTGAGAAGCACATGTTTTGGTTTTCTTGGTAGGTCGCCAAGGGCTCGTTACTGATGATAGAAAACCCTTCATATTCTTCTTCATCTTTGTTGCCTGCAGGGCGGGTCTGGGGAGGCAGCTGGCTCCGAGGCAGGGTGGATCTCTGCAGGTAAGCGTTCTTGGACCGGTCATTGTCCTGTCGTCCTCCGGGGCCTCCACCCTCTGATCCACCCTCAGGTTTGGAGACAAAGCTCATTGAGGAGGCAATGGAGCTCAGACTGTACACAGAGATGGCGTCTGAGGCAATGCTGTCGGCACCGGTGGGAGAGAAGGGGGGGTGCTGGTAGCCCAAGGGCAGAGCATTGGAAACAGACTGAGCAGAAGCAAGAGACTCCAGGGAGGAGGAGCTGTCGAGGCTGAGGCGCTTGGGTAGCTCAGTAGAATCTAAGCACAAAACACAAAGGCCCAAAGGGCAGTTAGAATTCTATATGGTTTTGATTTTTTTTTCCAAAATTTACAACATCCTTATATGCACAGAAGCTAGCAAAGAATTATGCAAGAGCTACTTATATACACCACTTGAATTAATCTTACAATCCTCAAAAACATGGTCCTGTTAGAAAAAGTAAATCTAACATAGGGACAAAATCACTCTAGGAGAGCTCACAGCCACACCCACACCCCCCAGACCCCCACCACCATGGCCCATCTCCACTCTGCTCCCTGTCACATGTGGGGTCAGGGTAAGCAACACGACCTTGTATCCACCTTCCTCTGAGGAGGGCTGGCTGTGCTCCTGGGGTGGGGGCCCTTTGCTCAGCTGGGGCATGTGAGCAGTCTGTGACATCTCCTGCCCTCCTTTCCAGCTCCATCCCAGCAAGTCCCTCTGGCATCATCTACACTCGCTCTCCACACTGCTTCTCCCCCATTCTCTCAACTTACTCCATTCAGGTTTTTGTCCCTGTCATTCTTATAAAGTCGCCAATGAGGTCCACAGTGCCAAATCCAGAGTCCATTGCTCAGTTCTGCAGTGGGATACACCCTGCCCTCACCACCCCCTCCCTCCTCCATAGGCCCCTCCTCATCCTTGTCACTCTGAGACCTGGAATGCCCACAGGATACAATCCTCTTCCCCTCTGACCCTCACGCACCCCGGGTGACGCCATGCACATTTCTGTCTCCATGTAGACCTCTCCCTGAACTCCAAACTCACATACCATCTGCCTGCATGGGTGCCTAATGGATATCCCCAAACTGAATGTGTCCCAGATGGAACTCATGCCCATTCCTCCTGCCACTTTCCCGACCTCAGCAGAGGGCAATCCCATTTTGGCAGTTCTTCCAAAAAAAAAAACAGGATATCACTGTGACCCATCTGTCATGACCTTCAGCAGACCCCGTTGGTTCCACCTGCAAACCATAACCACCTCCCAAGCCAGCATTTGTTCTTCCCACTGTAGCCAGCTCGGCCCTTAAGAACATCAGTCAGGCTGGGTGTGTCCCCAGAGCCTGGAAATCTCCTTCCGGGTCCACGTGACCTGAGGGTCTACTCCCATCAGGCCCTGTGGCCCCACAGAAGACAGGCACACCTGTCGCCACGTTGCCGTCTGCTTTGCCGCCACCCTCTTGCTTTCCAGTCCCTTGCCCTGCTTGAGCACTTGCCAGCACCTCGTACATTCCAAGTGCCATGAGAGCAGGGAGTTTTTGTTTCCTGCTCCTGAACAGTCCCTAACTGTTCCCTAACATCACAAAAAATGTTTATTCACTTTTCTTCTGCTTCCCAAAATGTATGTGCTGGTGTTGGCCCCCAGGGAGAGCGTGGCAGGCCCTGGTGGAGAGCTGGTCTGAGGGCAGGCTCTTACCGAACAGAGACAGCAGGGACTGCAGCGCGAAGTGCACAGTCCGTCGATTAGCTTGCTTCCCGGTTTTCAGGATTACTTCCTCCTGACCAACTTCACAGAGATCAAAACCTAAAGGAACAAAGAAGATAAGCATCTGCTTCCTTTGGGAAGATTCCAGATCTTGAACAGGAGCGCTGTAGGGCTCCTTGTGCAACTTCATGGAGTGCCTGCAAGGATCTTCAGGAAGCATTTGGGCCTGGGGCTTCCCCTGTCTGCACAGAGGTTGGTCATGTGGCAGAGGGGTCGGGCTGCCCCACCCGGAACATCCACTCTACACAGCCCCCATTTGGCGTGTGTGTGGCTCTCACTGCCTGGCTCTCCTCTGTCCCTTCACGGAAAGCACTATGGACCAGAACTGAGTAAGGCTCACTCACATGTTTTTTTCTATTTTTTTCACAGAAGTACAGTCTATATAAAGACTGTCCAGGACAAAAAACTGGCCACTCCATTCAGCATTGAGAGCAGTATTTACAGCTGGTGCATGGTAAGGTGAAGTTTCTCAAGGGCAAAGACAATGCCTTCATGCATGTTCAGTGTCTGCCCCCGTGGGCTTTGAAATGAGTGCCGACAAGGGGAATCTGCAGTGACTTCTCTGCCTCTGCCAAAGCCCAGGGGTGCTGCTCCCTAATTCTAAGGATTCTAATGAGACTCAGAGCAGGTGTAACACAGGGCGTGGAGCTTCCTGAGCAAGAAGCTGGCTAACAAGCTGTGGACGATTAAGAGACATTATAGGGACACCAGCAAGTATGTCTCCCTGGGGAGAAGCCAAGCGCAGATGCTGTGGCCACAGATGATGTGGTTTGGCCCTGTGTCCCCACCCAGATCTCATCTTAAATTGTAGTCCCTGGATGTTGAGGGGAGACCTGGTGGGAGGTGATTGGATCGGTTCATGATAGGGAGTTCTCACGAGATCTGGTTGTTTGATAAGTGTCTGGCATTTCTCCTGTGCTGTCTCTCCTGCCACCTTGTGAAGAAAGTGCCTGCTTCTCCTTCACCTTCTGCCATGATTGTAAGTTTCCTGAGGCTTCCCTAGCAATGCAGAACTGTGAGTCAATTAAACCTTTCTTTATGAATTACCCAGTCTCGGGTAGTATCTTTATACCAATGTAAGAACAGACTAATACAGATGGGGACCACAAAGCAAGAATTTAAGGCCTGAAGAGTCTTCAGCATTGAAAATTTTCACTCAGGATCCCTAGTCCCTGGTCCCTGGGTAGATCACTGAGCTCCCCTTAAAACACTGCAAAGTGCTGGGTACCTACAGTGCCACACCCTCTCCTCTGACCTCACAATGATAAAGTAAAGGGGCCTGTAGTACACGATGCTACTGTCAGCATGCTGTGCGTGTCATGACTCAGCCACAGCACATTCACCAAAGGAGAAACCCCTCCCTCTCTCGTCTGCCTAGCCAGCCAGCCTTTTTACTTGGACTTGGAGATTTGGAGACTATCATTCCCTTAGGAATTAGGTTCACTAGAGGAGCATTCTGGTCTCTATGGGACGTTTTCCTCTCTGAATTTGAAAGTAGATAGCCCCTGAAAGCAACAGGAAGACATGCTCAGAGAACTCAGCATTAAAAACAAATAATGAATAGTTTCAATGTAATGCTTGCATGAGAAACCTCTACTTTTACCAAAATGATTCAAATGGGGTTGCTGAGAACTGGGTCCTCGCCATCTCTGGCAGCCCATGCTGGGTTGTGAAGGTGTGTGCTTACTGCTGAGGACTGGAAAGGGGGCATTTCTTGGAGCCTTGGAGCCCTGGGAGCGAGCCAGCCACCTCTCTCCAGATGACAGGCCTGCCAGACACCACTGTCCTCCCCGAGCTGTAGTCAAAAGGCCGTAAAGGTCACAGATGCATGCAGGCTGACTCGCCCCTTGAGTATCAGTGGCTCTTGGAAAATACGGAGAATAACTGGAACATTGACTAACATCTCCCATAATCCCAACACCAGAGACAACCCGTGTTAAGATTTTCCGTGTTTCCTTCTGTACTATTGATGTATCTGGCAAAGGGACCTCAAAAGCAGCAAGTGTGCAGAGGAGGAAGGCTGGCTCCACCACCCCCACACCAAAGAGAAGCTCAGGCTCCACGAGGAAGAGAGCTTTTCCTTTATAAAGCGAGCTCTTGGCCAGATGCGGTGGCTCACGCCTGTAATCCCAACACTTTGGGAGGCTGAGGCAGGCAAATCACTTGAGCTCAGGAGATGGAGAACAGCCTGGGTACCATGGCAAACCCCTGTGTCTACAAAAAATACAAAAATTAGCTGGGCGTGGGTGGTGCATGCCTGAAGTCCCAGCTACTTGTGAGGCGGAGATTGCAGCGAGCTGAGCTCGTGCCACTGCACTCCAGCACCCTAGCCTGGGTAATAGAGTAAGACTGTCTCCAAAAAAAAAAAAATGTTGTGGTTGTGCCTTCGTCTTGCGGACTTACTTGTGGCAATGCCCCCAAGGCTTACCCTACAGCTTCTCACAGAAGTGACAAGAGAAGCATCCGGATGGGAACCTGACCCTTCTCAGTCTAGCCTCCATCTGCTGCTGCCTACATAGATATTTACTATGTTTATGCCAGGAAAATGATGCTTTAAACCCACAGAAGAAAAGCATGTAGACCAGGAGTGGTGGCTCACGCCTGAATCCCAGCACTCTGGGAAGCTGCATGGAAGGGCTGCTTGAACCCAGGAGTTTAAGACCATCCTGGGCAACATGGTGAAACCCCATCTCTACAAAAAAAGTTAGAAAAAAATAAAAAACCAAGTAATGCAACCTGTAAAGGATGCCAAGCTTCTAATCCAAGGGGATTCAGATCCACCCACCTCGGCCTCCCAAAGTGCTGGGATTACAGGCGTGAGCCACCGCGCCCGGCCCGAGGTGGTTTCGATAGTACTGTTTTCCTGCCAGTTTTGAGTACCCAGGGACAGAGGACAACATTGAAACCATTATTATCTTATGACTCTAATTTTAGTTTTCTTTAGCTCCTAATAACACTTGACCTCCAATAATACTAGAGTCTAGCAGGTTCATCTTAAGGTAATGGGCACAAATGAGAGAGATGAAATCACAGTGCAGAGGAAATGGCACAAAGCCATTTGTGCCATTTGGAAATCCTGCTAAACCACTACAATCTAAGTTAACTTTTTTTTTTGAAAGAAAAAAAAAAAAAGAGATCCTCCTGCCTCATTCCTCCTGAGTAGCTGGGACTACAGGTGTGCACCACTATGCTCGGCTAATTTTTTTTTTTATTTTGTAGAGATGGGGTCTCCCTATGTTGCCCAGGCTGGACTCAAACTCCTGGCTTCAAGTGACCCTCGCACCTCAGCCTCCCAAAGTGCTAGGATTACATGCGTGAGCCACTGTACCCAGCCTGAGTTAACTATTTTTAAATAATATTTAAGAAGACACTGAGATACTTTGCCCAATAGAAACCAGGAGGAAAAGCAGTGATTTAAAAGATGGAATTAAAGAACCCACTAAGTCAAGGATGCTCTGCCTACCTAGAGCTGCCAGGAACTCGTGGCATCCCGGGAGCCGCCACAGCTGGACGCTGATGGAGACCTGAATGGGAGCTGATGCCAAGTCCTGCTCCTTCTCGCCAGCCTGGAGCTGAACCAGCACCTGGTGGAGCTGAGGAAGGGAGGACAATGTGAGCACCCTGTGTCTCCTTCCCCTCCAGCCCTCCTCAAGACTTGACCCGTTATTCTTATGTCACCTGTCACTGGCATCGCTAATGACCCTCGCGAATGTAGCATTTGAGATTCTTTTCCAGGTGCATTCATACCTGCTGTCCTGCTGTCCTCTCTGTGGGAAGCTGATGGGGCAGTGGGGCAAGAGGCTGTGTGGGGCAGGAGAGGCTGTGTGGCCTCCTGGGGCTGGGGCCGGGTTCTGCTTCCAGCCCTCATGTCTTCCCTCAGGTGTGGGAGAGCCTCACAGGAGAGGCCATGGAGAGTAGAAGGGGTGAGTTGGGACCGAACACCTCCCTCTTTCTTAAGTCATCTTTGGGATCTTGAGGTGGATGGCGAAGAGGAACCTGGTTACATCTTAGAGCCTCACAGCTTGAGGAATAACCCACGTGGCCCACTCGAGTGTCCACTTCCTTTCAGATTTCAGGGTCTCTGGCCTCTCCTCAGGGGTGTGTGTGTGGGTTCACAGAGTGTCACTCACTTAAAGCTGGTTCTGCTCCTGCTGTTGTGGTGGACCTTAAGAGGTCAATCAAGGACACAAGAAGGGTGGAGCAGGAAGAGGGGAGCCAGAGCAGAGGAGGGGACAGGCCGCCGGAGCCAGCGGCAGTGGGCACCTGCCTGGAGCGCCACAGCCTGTGTGGCTCCTTTTGACAGCACGTGCACCCCGAGCTCAGAGCCTGCCCAGGGGAACTCGGGGGTGGGTGGGTTGAGGGGCTCACCTGACAACAGTTGCTACTTAAAGTAGTACTCACCATTCCAACCATATTTTTAACAGCCTTCGGCCAGCAGATTACAAGAAAAAGAAAGAAAAAGAGAGAGAAAGAAGAGAGTTTAGACTCAAGCACAGGCTGTTATGCAACATGAGCTGATCACTGTTTAGGAAGCGCCACACCAGGCCCGCGGCTCTGACTGGGAGGGGAGAGGAGCAAGAGTCAGCAGGGGACACACAGGAGAACGGACAGCCACACCCAGGCCAGCCGCGTGCGGATCCAGGGGCTCAGGGGCAGCAGCAGCCAGGCCTCCCTTCCCAGCCAGTAGAGGCTCAGGAGGGGAAAGAGCACAGCGGGCATTTGTAGCCAGCTCAGGAAACCAAAGTCCCTGGTTCCCGAGTGACCCAGGAAAGATCCACCAGCTGCCACCACTGGGGGCAGCCTCGGGACACATCCCTAGGGCCCGACAGCATATCAGGCAGAAAGTCCCTGTGTTTCCATTAAAAGCAAAGAAATTAAGCAACTGGGTTTTTTGGCCGCTCAGCACAGCCCTGCAAATGGAATATAATTTTGGCTTTCAGATTTTGTAGAACACAGACCTCTAGACTGCCTGGGTTCAGGCTGCTTTAATACGCAATATCCTGGAAGTGTTTTCCTGATGCTATTCAATAAGCAGGCATAACACACTTACTACAAAATGAGCAGGGACTCAGCCAAGGGTACAGGTCACTGCTGGTTCTAAGTTCCAAATCCATGTGGAAACAGCCCCAGGTAGCACTCAGAGTTTCAGAGGCTGATGGAGCAGCTTTATTTCTCCATAGAAATATTTCTTCTGCTTAAGTGAAATTTGCTGGCAAATATCTCTAACAACACCACATATTACTTTTTCAAATTGTTACACTCCAGAATGGCCAGAAAAGCAGCTCTGTGCTCTTCAAGGGCTGCTCCAGCCTCCAGAAGTGCTCCCACAGCTGTCCCCCTAGGGCTTGGTCCAGACCCTCACTGGCCAGAATGCAGTGGTGCAGCATGGGTACTGAGAAGCTCCCAGGCCAAGCTGCAAAGGACCCACATGATGCTAAGAACTGGAACCCTCTGAACTCGTGAACTAGATCTGTATTTTCCTAAAAGAAAGCACATCTGCGAAGCAGTATCTTGCATTAGAGTTGCTCCTGTGTTCACTGCTTTGCCTCAGTGACTATCTTGTTCCAGCATGGTAAGTACTTTGATCAAAGAAGTATGGGAACACCTGCAGCTGTCCTGGCAGGCTGGCCCCACAGCTGGTGGCTTGGGGAGGGTGGCTGTAACACTTGTCAATCAGCTGAAAAAGTTGGTGGTGAGGAGGACAAGGTTCAGGAGACCACTGAATGGAGATTTCAGGAAATGCCCTGAGACCACAGGTGACAGGGGCCCCATAAGCATCCTCTGAAGGCCCTTGATGCTCAGCACCCAGTGAAAACACTATGCAAACCTGTCCCTCTGTGCCCCGCTGAGTCAAGCACCCAGCTTCACCCTGGGGTTGGCCGCACAGCTTCATCAGGGCCACAGGTGCACCTGACAATGCCAATAGTGGCCAGTGTCTGCTGGCACGGCCTCCCATCATCCTGGGAAGGGGCAGCACCGCTGGCACGGATGCCTTGGCATCATGGATAGAAATAGCAGGTAAACAGCACTTGCCAGGGAGGGCTATTCTCTTACTACCAGCCCTCATCTTCTCCTTCGAATCACAAAGGCAATGAGACTGCATTAACTTACAGGTTCCTATTTAGGGCCAAATTGCTCTGCCTTTCCAAATCAGCATGGGCCTCAGGGCCTGGCTCAGCCCTCCAGGCTCGACTTACCCGGCTGATGAGCTGCTCTCCCGTCTCCGAGGCAGTGATGAGTTTGCAAAGGGCTTGGAGGGCAGGATTGGGCAGACCTAAACCAAGGAAAAAGGGTAGAAGTTATTCAGAAGAGCCTCTGCACCCAAAAACCTTCCCAGGGGAAAGAACCCTAAATCCTCGGCATCGGTGGCATTTTTCAGAAGCTCAGCACAGCTGGACGTGTGTCTGGGACCCCTTGCCATTTCTCAGAACACCCTGCTCGTAGCTGGGAGATCCAGCATCCTCATGAATGCGGGGCCCAAGGCCACCAACTGTTCCACCTGCTGTTGGCCAGACCTGTTGCCCCAGCCCTACACCCGCAGCTCACCCAGCAGGGACTGGAGGGTGCTGCTGCACTGCTGGAGCCGGTCACCCGGGTCAGAGGTTGGGAAGAAGACAGCTGCTGGCAGGCCGCTGGTTGGAGGGTCCAGCCGGAAGCCCACAGCGGTGAGGAGGGCCTGCCAGCCAGGGATGCCGCCCACTTTGTTCTCCACGCTCTGCTGGGACGTGTACATGGCATTGCGCTGCCCATTCTGGATGCGCTGCAGGGACTTTTCCACCTGGGGGGAAATTGGGGGTGAGTCAGAGACCCAGGCAAGCCCTGGTTTCTGTCCACATGGCTTTGAGGGTACACAAAGCCCCAGGGGTGAAGCAAGGCTGACTGCTGCAACCCCACGTGGCCCACATGGCCAGGCCTGAGGATGTGACAGTGGGGCACTGACCAGGCATCTTGCGAGGGATGAAGGGAAGGATTTTACAATCAGAGCCCTCGAGGGCTGGTACAACAGAAGGATTCTGTCCCTCCCCTAAACCAACCCCTTGCACACTCTCCACAGACAGTAAAGCAACGTGTCTGAACACACAGGGGCCTGCCTCAAACCCTGTAATGGCTCCTGCCCACTAGGGATAAACCCTCAGGCCCTTCAGGAACCCCCTCGCTGCCCACAGCCCAGCCTCATCATGGGGTCTTGGCTGGCAATGCCCTTCTTCCCCATTCCTCCCACTCAGCCTTCGTCCCTCCGCACTGGCCTCTGGAGCCTATACCTCCCTCCACCGGGAAGTGTCCTCCTGTCATCCAGGGCCTGAACAGTTGCCTGGCACTTCTACGCTGGTCACCCAAGTCACTGCTGCATGAACTACATGAGTGAGTGTTTTAACAGTAGTGCAGGGTCTCAAGGCTAAGTGGGGACAGCTGAGAGGCGCAGTGGCTCACACCTGTAATCCTAACACTTTAGGAGGCCAAGATGGGTAGATCACTTGAGTTCAGGAGTTCAAGACAAGCCAGAGCAACATAGCGAGACCCCAGCTCTATACCCCGTCCCCCCCAAAAAAAAACCAAATAACAGTAGTGCAAACAGCTTTCATCGGGCCTCCCTGGGCCTCTCTCTAGTGGAAACCCCTGTCCACTCTGGGATGTTGGTGCCCTGTGAGGCACATGTGCCCTCAATGGAGGGGCATGAGTGGTCCAAGATGACCTGAGGCTTTTTTTTTTTTTTTAAACAGTAAACACTGGGATGCCGGAGCACAGGCGTCCAGACAGGAGGACGTGTGTACTCACATCAGCCAGGAGGAAACAAGCCCGCCCGGGAGGACAGAAGATCAGCCCTGGCTGTCACTCAGGCAGGGCGGGCCTCCAAGACACTGCCTACTGGATCAAGGAATATCCAGGAGGTGTTAGAAGGTAGGGGCTGGGGAACTTGACCCATGGCCCCCACACTCCTGCATCCACCCCAGGAGATAATACCAAGGAAAAAGAGGAAACCCTTAAATGGGCCTGAGGGGCCTCAAGGCCATGTGGGGGCAGCTAAGAGGCCTGGCCTGGGAGGAGGCGGCTAATGAGTAGAGAAGGCAGTTCCACTACCCCAAAAAAGCAGTGTGCAGTGGCAGCAAGGACAGAGGGACTTTGCGGGTGACGGGACCTGAGAACTGAAAGGCTCTAGGCAGTTTCCAGATACGGGGTAACAATGGAGAGGGCCTCCCAGCACCCTGGGCGTTGGCCTCCTCGAGCCAACTAGGGGAATGCTGGGGGCTTGCTCGTCACAGTGTTCACATACTGATTACTTTCAGGCCTGAGGAGACCCTAAGCTTAAGAAATGTGTGTGACTCTATCCTCAGAAGTGCATGGAGAGCTACCACGCACAGGCCCAGGTGCCACAGGTCTGAACAGAGGGACCTGATCAGACCCAACCCACGGGCAAGAAGTTTGCATAGCCCAGGAGACATGCTCGCTCCCAGGCCTGCGTGGACACTGCCCTAGGTCCTCCATCTTAACCATGGACGGAGCCAGGCTGTGCAGCAACCAGCCTGCAAGGAGGCCCTGGGGTCTGTGACAGATTTGGAAGGAGCTTGGCTGTGGCATGGCTGTTCACCCACACTGCATGGGCCCCAGGCTGGCACTGGGCTAGGAAGATGTGGGGTGGGCTAGGGCTGGTCTTTCTGGCACAGCACTCTAAATGATTTGAAACGGCCTTCCAGGTTGTTCCAAAGGTAGAAGGATGAAACAAGTTTGATGTCACTGCTTCTTGACTCAATTGATAACATTTACACCTGTAGATGTGGGCCCTCCATTTGTGCTCTTGCCTGGGCTCCACAGAAGTTGGGGCAGGCTGGTCAAGGGCACGATCAAACTTGGACTTATTAGGGGCAGACTGGAGTCATCTGATGGTAAAATAGGACTGTACTGTGCGGCGAGTACTGGCATTTTCTCAAATCCTCATGATAACCTTGAAATATTCAACTGTTACCACCCTTTCCAGATGAGAGCACTGAGGCTCAGAGAGCCAAAGTGACTTGCCCAAAGCCACATGACCTGGAAGCTGCTAGGGTATGGGTCACTGTCATTGGCTGCCCTTCCCCCAGGGTCCTGGCGAGTACTGCTACTACAGCCGCCTGTATGGCACCACCCACCGTGCCCACCCCTCAAGCCAGTGGGCTCATCCCGGGGACGTCTGCAGAAGCACCCTGGGGATGCTGCCCACTTTGTGCATCACACTTTTGCTGGGACATGGGTCTCCCAAGTAGGCTTATCCCAGGGACATCTGTGGAAGCCGGTCAGTGCCGTCCTGGACATGGCCCCAGTCATGATGTCCTCTCCACCTGCTCACATCCCGATGTAAGGAAACCCTTGCCTTCCCCTTCTTGCACAGCACTGCCAGCTCTTGTTGAGTGCAGGGTGCCCGACCCCCTTACCAGGTGCAGCAGCACTCGCAGGGCATCCCGCGCGCGCTCTGGGTGCTGCAGGATCTCTGTGAGGGCCTGGCCGATGAGTGATGAGGGGCTGTTCAGCTTAACATCACTCCCGATGAGCATGAACCCTGCAGAGAGCAAAGGAGGACACCCTCAGCAGAGCGGCTGGAGACCCCAGCCCCACCCCGGCTTCTAGGGCTCACTTATGCCTCAAGGTTAACCCAGCAGAAAGAGCAGGGCCTGGCAGGGGAGCAGCTCACAGGCTAGACTGGGGCATCTGACTCACTGGATGGTGATGTGGCACCCCTTTGCCCCCTTCCTTTTAATAATCAATATTGCTTAGCTGTTCAGGTAAGTGGGGCCTGCTGTTTTGCAGAAAGGAGCCAAGGGAAGCACAGTGGGAAAAGCTGCCTTTTTTTTCGTGAAATTCATCTGTGTCTATCCTCAGGCCTTTAGGAGGGGACATGCCAGGGCAGGGGAGGTGCACATATCTCCTCCTTGGGGCCACGGGGAGGCAGGGAGCGGCTACTCCTCCAGTTCTAAACCAGCAAACAAGCTCGGCTGGGAAAGACCAACTGGGCTGAGGAGCACAGCATCCCACTGTTCCTTTCCACATTGCCTTCCAAAACAGGGCCTGGGGGAGCAGGTTTCTCAAGCCCACGGGCAACTTCAGGACCAGCCTGCCCCCAAATCATGTAGGGAAAGGGTTTTCTAAGAGAATGAGCTGTTTTTAAAGGTAATAGGAGAGCATCACTAAAAATGGTTTCATCCAGAACAAAGTTGTGACTTATATTATCCATCAACAAAACTAAACAAACAAAGACCCTTTTCAAAATGCCATGCCCGTAAGCACACTGGACAGACCTGCAGAGACAGGAAAGGGGCCAGGTCCCCACAAACCCTGCAGTAGGTTTTGTGGGATGCTGTGGGGCCCAAAGCCCCTTCTGACTGCCAGGACTTGTGTGATGAGGACAATAATGGAAGCCACAGGGCTCACCTCTACTTTCTGTGTCTCCTAAGAGCAGGAGAAGCAGGTGAGCAGCCCTCCGTGCCTGCCTGTGCATGCTCCGCCTGGCAGAACCAAGGGATGGCCGTGAGGTGAGTAGGCAGGGTGGGGTATGTGCCTGTTGGACCAACTAAATGCTTTTCAGCCGCTTGAAGAAACAGGAACAATTCTATTTTGTTTTTTGAATAGCTCTTTGAAAAATACTCCAGTTGTGTTTGTAAAGTAAGCAAAATGTTTCCATCTTTCAACAGCATGACCAAACGCCTGACACCAGCACCTGGGGCTGCCAGGCAGCCACCCCTGCAGCTGTGTTGTTTGCTGGCTGACAGGGCCTGGCAGTGCTGTGGCTCCACCCCAGGGCTGACCCACCTTTGGAAAATGACACCAGCAGTATCAGGATGTGTCAACTGGATTTATGTTAAGAAAACAGGATTTTCGGTATTCCTCTTTTTCCCAAAGTTTGAGACACTTTCAGACACTCTGCTTTGCAGTTATGGCTGATGTTACCCATGGGGGGCGGGGGACTTTTGCTTTGCTCTAAATTTTCGTAACACCCTGGGGAGTTTCGGGGGCCAATGCTGAGAGAAGACCACAGGCTGACGCATCATGACGCATGTGGGTAAAACAGTCCCGGCTGGCTGAGAGGCCAGTGAGGGAATAGGCCCAGGGTTTGGTTTGTACTCTGTGAGTCTTGGCCTGGCAGGGTCTTCTGCACAGCAGAGCCCTCTGAGTGGCTGCTGTGGGCAGCTTTCCACAGGGACCCCAGGGGAAGCAGGTGGTTGCCTAGAGCTGAGGGCAGCTCTGTACGTGCCTGCCTTCCCACCTCCCCTGTGACCAGATGTCACAGGAACATTCTCTCTTTACTCCCTAGACCCTCCAGGCAGGCCCACTAAGAGAATGTATTCTAGAACATGCAGGGCCTGAAGCTTCACAAAATATTCAGTACACTCCTTATAGATCTTCTCAAATGTGGACCGGGTGGTGTCATCAGCACCACCATCATCCCCTTGTTACCGCTGAGGACACAGCTTCAGAGAGCGTAAGTAACCTATCTCAGGCCACACAGCCAGGACATGGAGCTAGATCCATCCTAAGTCTTTCTACCACACACTCCTTTCTACAGTCATGGTTTAAGTGAGGGTGCAATGGAATGGGTCATCCAGTGTACACTGACATCAGGAGGAGTTTCACATTCACACTCCCATGGCAAATGGTTCAGTTGCTCCCTGGTCCAAAGATGATCTTAATAGTAGGAAAAATTCATTTGGCAGAAGGAAAACTCAGCACACAGGCTCTCTCCCTGAGTCTTCTGCAGCTGGCCCTGCCCTGCCCTCCCCTCCCCTCCCTAACCCCACTTGCAGAATAAAGTCAGGGGGCTGTGAGGACTGAGCCCCAGGCCTTGACAGGCACCCGCAGCCGGCTGAACTCCCACCTGCCCAGTTGGAGGGGTGCGAGAAGGCCTTGCTGCTCTGCACCACCTTCATGGCCTCCCCCAGGGCGGCGCTGGCTTTCAGGCCATTCAGCAGGGATGAGTAGAAGGCATGGATGAACATCTTAGAAGCAGCCACTGGCACAGGCCACAGAGACACGAGGACACACTGAGCGCCAGCAGCCAGGAAGGCCCTTGTCAGCGCGATGACTCCGTCGGCTGTGACTTTGCTGTTGGACTCCTGGGAGGAGCCAAGCACCACCAGCTTCACGGGCAGCTGCAGGTCCAGGACATCGGCGGCCGTGAGCAGCAGCTCCTGCAGGGGCGGGCAGTCCGAGATGCTTTCCCCGTCACTGGCGTCGTCCTGCACCCGCAAGGACTCAGGGATCGTGTAGGGGTGGCCAAAGGAGCTCTTGCTGCTGGCAGGGTTGCCGTCCATGCTGGGCGTGAGGACCAAGGCTGACAGCTTCCAGGAGATGTGAGTGGCAAAGTGGACGCACTCAGCCTGGGTCAGGGCGCTCATGACCCTCTCCTTGGTGGCTACACTGCCCACTAGGGGCTGGCAGCCCAGCAGCTCGGACACCATGTAGGCCTCTTCCTCAGCCGACGGCATGGGCCCCCACAGCCACCTGTCCATCACGGCTGATGGGAGCTTGGGGTTGCCGATGACAGCCGCCATGGATGTGGAGCTGGAGTATGTGGGCGGATTCTTCCGTAAGTGAGACTAGGAGGGGAGGGGACAAAGCAGACCACCCGTCAGACAGAACAGCCAGGCTGCCCGGCAGTGGTCAGGTGAGCACAGGGATGACCAGCTCTCTGCTGGTTGAGCTTGAATCCACCTGTTTCCCCAGTCACCTCATTCACTCTTATTTTTCAACATCTTTTTGACACAGGTGCCTAACTTACTGAGAATCACGCCTGCTGTGATGAGCCCTTGAAAATCATCAGGATTGGGCTGGGCGCGGTGGCTCAAGCCTGTAATCCCAGCACTTTGGGAGGCCGAGACGGGCGGATCACGAGGTCAGGAGATCGAGACCATCCTGGCTATCACGGTGAAACGTCTACTAAAAAAAAAAAAATACAAAAGAACTAGCCGGGCGAGGTGGTGGGCGCCTGTAGTCCCAGCTACTCGGGAGGCTGAGGCAGGAGAATGGTGTGAACCCGGGAGGCGGAGCTTGCAGTGAGCTGAGATCCGGCCACTGCACTCCAGCCTGGGTGACAGAGCCAGACTCCGTCTCAAAAAAAAAAAAAAAAAAAAATCATCAGGATTGGATGGTAGGGGTCCTGAGAGGACTGGGGGAGGAGGCCCTGATATGACAGAGTGGACAGAGCCCATGGAACCCAGGATGGCCAGCCTGCTCCACAATCCTCATCCCCACAGACCTCCCTGTGTGGCTCCTAAATAAGAGGAAACCCACTCCTGATAAGTCAGGGACTTTGAAGAGTGATTTTGTTTAAATCGTGCAAACAAGCAAGTCAGTCTTGGGGAGACAGGGCTAAACTAAGTCCTTTAAGAAGCTCTACATACTGACAAGATTCTAGTTCCCTTCTGCCTTATATGCTGCAAAGTAGAAAGTATCACTGAATGAGAAAATCAGCATAAAGAAGCCCAATAATGTCTGCCTGAGTTTCCCCTATGATGACTTTTGGTACTTTTTGGGAAACATTAAGTATGAAGTTACTTCAAAATAATTTTTTGGTGCCTCTGCTTGGTGATGCCTTAAACTCTGGGTAAGAGAAACACCAGGTGCCTGTCAGGAGATGGCCTCTTCCGGGTCTCTGGTTAAGCTACAAACAGCCAGCTGGCTGTTGCTATCAAAATAAAAGTTTTCTGAAGGTGGAGGCATCTGATACCCAGAGTGCTGCTATCAGCCAGGACAGTGGGCCACTGGGTGGCAGGAGTGTCGAGAAGGCCAGCTCGATTCCTATCTGGGATTCAGAATCAGTCATGGAAACTTCAGAAACCTAGAGAAAATAACTTCTTTCACTTTGAACTGATTCTTTGCTTCATAAGAAAAGTATTATCCAGCTACAAAAATGGTCAAAATTCAGATCTGCAAAAACCCATGAGGCAGAAACTGACCCCACTTAGGCCACACCAATGAGCAAGTCATCAAAGCGGCCAAGACAGGTCCTGTGGGGGCCACCCATGCATAGGGCCCAGCCTTGGTTCCTAACCCCGCCTATGCTTTCCACCACTGTAAAGAGGACCATCTGGGTAAGACCTGTCCCACCCGCCATGGGGTATTAGGGCAGATGGGGTCTGAGGGCTCTGAGAGCAGCTGGCAGCTCGAGGGCATCCGGAGTTGGAGGATGGAGCAATGCAAGCCCTTGTGGTAAAGACAGTCCTGCAGCCGAGCAGGCAGGGATGCTGCAAGTGGAGTGCGAGGCAGGTGCGGAGCCCTGTGGGACTGTGGAGGGGTCAGAGGGAAGCCAGGATTTTGGGGTCTCTGAGAGTTTGGAGAAGGGGAAGAAGATTAAAGTTTGGCTCAAAAGTTTCTAATCAGGTGGGCAGGGCCAAGGGTGGCAGTGGGGTGAGACCCATGACTCAGGGTGGCCCACTGTTACTCTCTTGATTTTGGGTGTTTCTTTCCAAACTGATTATTCTTGCTCAATGAGACCTGAGTCCCTGCCTGTCCCCTGAAAGCCACCTGACTTGTTTTTAGTTCTATTGGCCTGTCGGGCTGTTTTCTACTCGACTCCACTCTTGCTTGTCTGCCTTCCCTGCCTGGGGCCCAGCCAACAGTCAGCTCAAGGGCCAGGTAAATTGGGTGGCTCTGCTCTGCCCACTGGGCATCGTGTGGATGGTGGGTGACCAGCCCCCTCAGGTGCTCAGTCAGGCCTCAAGCTTCACTGTGTACCTCAGAGCAGCTCAGAATCCTGATGTCACAGCAAAGAAACTTAGACATGACACAAATTGTGGCTTCCCGAGGCAGCAAAGAATGGCCAGGGATCATGAGGGCCGAGCCCCACTTTTGGACAGAGCTACTCTAAAGTTATGCTACCTGCATGCAAATCATAAAATCAACACTTTTGAGGAGATCACCGCTATGCCTTAGTAACACAGCCCAGTCCGACCAGATAGACAGTGCCTCGAGACCCGAGAACAAGCCCTTGGTCCCCCACCATGTGTGTGAGCCTTACCTTGGACTGCACGCTAAGGGAGCGGATGGAAGGGACAGCAAGGAGGCCGAAGCGCTCGTAGAGGTACTCGTTGGAGGAGCTTCCCTTCAGGAGGGCGAAAGGAATGAGGTAGAGCTCCCCCTCTAGAACCAGGATGAGCTGCCGGTGCCGGCCCACGGGGCCGCTGGAGTGCATCAGGCCCTGTGGAGCAAGCACGGAGAGGCTGACATGGGAGGCCCAGGAGGCAGGGGTTTCAGGCACCAGGACAACCCTGAGCCATAGCCTGGGTGATACAAGTATGAGCAGGTGAGGCCTGCGGGGGTGTGGGGCGCCACGGGGCATAGGCTGAGCTGCAGCCATGCAGGAGCGTCACCAGCTGGCATGCTTGCTCGTGGACTGGCAAGGGCTGGCCTGGCAGCGTCCATCTGCCTCACAGTCCTGAGAAGGTTAGAGGACAGTTTCTTGAAGTTCATAAGAACCTGGAGTGGGCGGGAGACCGGCCTGTACTGCACAGGCACCCTGAGAAGGGGTGGGAAAGGCCCCTCCCAAAACAAGATCTGTTTTCCATTTCAATGGACAAGAGGCTAGAAAATCAGAGGGAGGACGGGAGGTCTGGGGGCTGGCATGACAGCCCTTGGAGAAGGGGATGGGCTGGGTTCTAGGACCTTTTGTGACTCCCTCTGAGGGAAGAGTGGCCCCTTGGCTCTGGGCTCGGGAGGTGCTGTCCCCACTTGTTCCCTCTGGGGATGTCACGGGACCCAACGCATGGATGACTCCCATCCCTCTTGACAGGCTGGGCATGAGGACCCAAGGCAGGGTGTGCACAGGGCCACAGGAGACATAGGCTCATTCCCATTCATTGCAGAACAAGGCTAAAGCCACGGGCATCTTAGAGCAGCAGGCAACAATCCTGGAAGCTGGGTTCACACAGACTGAGGTGAACAAAGAGGTGGTGTGGAAGCTGCTGCTGCAGTCCAGAGCCTGCCAAGAAGGTCCCAGGTCCACAGAGCCTGCGCAACACTGGGTGCCAGGGGTGGGACTGGCCTGCCCCCAACCCCGTCTGCTGAGGAGTGGCTGACAAGCGGACACCCACCAGGGTGCCACTCGCTTGTGCCTGGGGAAGCAAATGTGCTTGCTTGACCCGTCTGATGTGCTGCCGTGGGCACTTGGCTGAGGGTGGCAGGGCACTCAGCTAACCCAAAGTGACACATGCCTGGCGGGACATTCAGTCTCTGTAAACTCCTATGGGGTTTTCTTTCTTTCTTTAAAAAAAAAAATGTCTAGCTCCATCTAGCGAAAGCAGAAATAAAAATTATTAGGCCAATTTGTTTTTCGTTTGTTTGCTGTAAGAGCTACAGTATGAGCCAGGCACGGTGGCTCATGCCTGTAATCCCAGCACTTTGGGAGCCCAAGGCGGGCGGATTATGAGGTCAGGAATACAACATGGTGAAACTCCGTCTCTACTAAAAATACAAAATTAGCCGGGTATGGTGGCATGCATCTGTAGTCCCAACTACTCAGGAGGCTGAGGCAGGAGAATTGCTTGAACCCAGGAGGCGAAAGTTGTAGTGGGCCAAACACCAGTGTACTCCAGCCTCGGGGGCAGAGCGAGACTGTGTCTCAAAAACAACGACAACAAAAAAAGAGCTACAGTATTTCCCAAGAGGAGGTAAATTAATCACTGTGCAATTGTGCAACCTAGGCAGGAAGAAGTAGGGGTGTGTCACAGCGACCCTGACACTGTCTATGGATGAGCTCAGCACAGGGAGGAGAAACAGCTGTAGGCACCTGGGCCCCACGGTCTGCCATGGGCCACACCTGAGCTCCCCGGCTGGCTCCGTAGGTAGAGGTGGCTCAGGGGGCTGCTCTGGAGGGGAGTGCCACCACACCGGGGAGGTATGCCAGTGAACCTCGAACCAGCCGCAGTGGCACAGCTGATGCTGCCCTGACCCTGGTGACAGGGTCAGCGGCTGTGACAGTGATGGCCACCTGCTGCTCAGTGAGAACTGTGCTGCCTGAGAATGGGTAGGGTGGGGTTGAGCCACTTGCCATGTGTAAAACTGGACCCACCCTCCACTGTTCCAGAGTCACAGGGCTTTGTTGTGACAAGATGCCAGCCCCAGCCCCACAGGTCCTCCCTGGGCTCCTGCCACCCAGGCCCAAACGGCAGTAAGTTTCTGTCAGATGTCATTGCACAGGCTACTGCCTTCACCAGGACACACGCCACTCATAGACAAGTCCCTAATGACAGCACCTAACTGTGTGAACCGGACAGAAGCTTGGCAAGCTGAAAAAAGGAGAAGTCAGGCTGGAATCCATGCAGCGCAAACATTCACTGGCAGCACTTCTTAGTAGAACCCTGCTAACTCTACCCACAAAACCTCATCTGCGGCACAAGCCTAATGACTAGAGAATGCATGTCCTTGAAGGCAGCTTGTCTGTCTTCTCCAACACTCCACCAGGGGTGGGGGGTATCTCCTGTGGCCCTGTTGTCAGAAGTCTCCCAAGCTGGGCCTCGGCTTTCCCATCAGCCACTGAGTGGTGTCTGTCATGTGCCTACTGGGGACTGTAGGGAAGTCAGATAAATTTAGGACATGGTCCCTGCTTGCAAACTTATGATGATGTACTTAGAAAACTAAAATGCACACAAGAGGCCATTGCTGAATGAAACTTGGTATTATCAAATGTAACAGCCTCATGGCAGCATGGCAACCCCAGAACTGGGAGAGCCTATCCAGGCTGACACTGGGCCCACCCAGGAGGCTGCTCTGGTCCGTGAGAACTGGGGAAGGCCTGGCCTGGGCAGATGCTGTTGCCAGGTGAGCACAAGGCTAGAGGGGGACATGGAAGCCAGACTGTGGGGGCGCTGAAGATCAGGCAAGAAAGTGTGGTTCTTGTTGGCTGTCAGAACCTGCCATGCCTTCTCAAGCTGAGCCCTGCAAAGCATTGAGAGGCAGCCTGCCTGCCTGAGGGAGAGGGGCTATGCCCGGGAGTAATTCAGACCAGGGCATGCCCACCGAGAGAGGAGACAAGGAGACTTGCTGGGACTCAGTGAGAGTGACCTTAGCGGGTGAGGAGAAGTCTGAAATCCAGGCTGGGAGATAGGGAGACTGTTCTCTGAACCTCATATCCCAATTTGGAGGTCTGGGTCCTCCCTGCATCATGCCTAGGAGCTGGTACCGCGCTTGGCACATGCATACAACCCTGGGTGAAGGCCCCCAAATGGGACCCCTGTCCAAACTGTGTGAAATGAGGCAGGTGACAGCCACAGCTGTTCTCTGAAACGTGTGGGCTTGTGGGGAGATGGGTAGAACAGCAGGCTGACAGCTCCTGTTCAAAGGGGGGAACTGATTGGACATGCTAGAGACAATGCCCAGGAAACTTTTGAGCTCTGCCTCTGGTGTATGCGTGCTGTCCTTGCACTGAAAGATTAGCTATAATCCAATGTGAACTTGAAAAGGGGAAAGCAAGTCACATCTCTATTCAGCTTACATATCATCAGTCAGTCTACAAAGGAGAGACATTCAAGGAAACACTACTCAGCACCTGGGCCTGTCAGCCTCGGAAAGGGCGTCTGCTGGCCTCTTAAGGCTTAGGGTTGAACAATCAAGTGGCTCATGCACCAGCCTTATAGCAGCAACTACCAGAATCTCCAACAGATTCTATCAAAGACTCAGATGTTCTGACCTTTGCAGTTTCTAGTAATGGGATTTCTGAAAGCAGAAGATGACAGGGCCAGGTGCACTAGAATCTGTCTCTTCCCCAGGGGTGCCGCCCTGTGCTCTCACCAAGGGGCTGTGACCCTGACTGTGGCAATGTGAGTCCAGGCAGCAAATGATGCTTGAGAACTTACTGTGTGCCAGGCCAGGTGAGAGAAAAGGGGGAAGACAGTGCTGGGCGGGCAGGCAGGCCACCACGCACAGTATCGCGGGGCTGCCCTGGGGCACGGTGATGATGGGGTACCTTGAAGGTGTAGTCTTTGTACAAGGAGAGGGTTGTTCCTTCTGACAGGGTGGGCAGTGAGTACACTGGAGGTGGCTTTGCACAGCTATTGTCAGTTTACTGTCTCTCAGGTCCTGAAGCCCTTGTCACTATCCACACTGAGACACGCTGCATTCCTTCGGCTGTTTCTCCCACGATATGCAGGGTGCTGAGCTGTGTCAGTGGAGTGCACTGAGGGGCACTGAGGAGGCAGGAGACCTCCTGGGTCAGTGATGGCTGAGGACATCCAGAGGCCTGCCCAGCCACGGGCCCAGAGCACTGTCCCGTTGCCACCTTGCAGTCTCGGCCTGGTGATGATCTTCCCACATCCTTCTCTACATGGAAACCAGAGCCCCCACACTCCCAAGGCCTCCTGCCTGGGCAGGTGCCTGGACTCCCTGGCACCCATCACTGCTGGAAGCTGATGGCTGCTCTCCTGCCCACACTCAGGGGGCTACCACTTGCCAGCAACTCCAGACTGGCTCTGGCCTGGTCAAACAGTGGACATATCTCTGTGTCCTGTGGGCTGAACCACACCTCCTCCCATGTTCATTCTTTACTGGGTACACTCCCTCAGCCCTAGAGAACCACACAGCTTCCCTATATCTTACAATTACTTGCTTCTCATAGGTAATAGCTCTCTATACTGAACGTTGTGGTTTCTGTCTCCAGATGGACCCAGAGGATGAAAAGCTGTGTCCAGTGGCCCGGGAAGGGATGCTGCATGCTGGGGAAAGAATAAGGGTTCTGGGGGGAGGCCCTGCCACAGAGTCTGGGGCAGCCTGCCAAGTCAGGGTGCTCCCAGCATCTGGAACTGCTAGATAGGAGGCGAGGGGTGAGAAACTAGTAGGGTTGGGGGTAGGGGATCTGAGCACTCCAACAAGACACTAACCTCTCTGCACCTTGGTTTCCAAACCCACAGGACAGCACTAACATGCATTCCTCACAGGCCTATGAGGCCAAGGTAGCTGCACAGTGGGTAAAGCATCTAGCCCCATGCCTGGCACTGGTGTGCACTCCAGACATATTGGTCAAATGCGAATTTACAACTGTCTTCAGTGCTTGGAATAAGGTGACACCGCCCCTATTATTTATACTATTCTTTTCTTCTGGTCCATAATCATTTTTCCAGTATTACTCATTCCCTTTCTCTCTGGTGTTTAGAAACATTCTGTGGCTAAAACAGACAAATGGTTTCTCTGGAACATCCAGCTCCGAAT